AAAGAATTGCTGAACTGGTTTAAAATATATATGCCTGAGTGACTCTCCTTGGCCACCGTGATGAAGATCAACCCCATAGGGTGTGACCCAGGGCTCCAGCTCCCTTCCCTGTAGGCTGCACCTGCACGCTCCGCTCCATCTGCTCTGGGCACTCCTGCCTGGTCCTGGACATGCAGAGCCCTCCCCCCAGCACCTGCATGTGCTGTTCCCTCTGTCTGGAATGCTCTTCCTCTGCTGGTCACCTGGCCAGCTCCATCAGAGCTCAGTTTACCTCTCCTGTCCGAGGGAAGCCTTTGCTGAGCCCCATCTATCCTGCCATCTGCCTCTTGCCCAGAACACTGTGCAGCTGCTCCCTTGTACCAGCCAGGACCAGCAAGGTTGGGCTGCAGTCACAAATAAACACTGAAACCTTAGGAACTTCATCTGCTTCTCACTCACACAGCGTGTTCCAGAAAGCCCAGGTCCCCGTTCCACACCATTGTTAGGGACTCAGGCTGAAGGAGGCACCACCACTCCTGGGCACAGCAGGGAGCAGAGAGAGTGGAGAGAACTCATTCCTGCCTCAACTGCCCAGGACCCAAAGTGGCCCGTGTCGCTGTTGCTCACAGTCTGTTGTCCAGAACTAATTACCCGGTCCCAGCTGCCTGCAAGAGAGGCAGGGAAGCACGAACTCCTTGTGTATCCTCAAGAAAGGGGATATAAAGTGGAACAGTCTCAGCTGTACCCCACCATGGACTGTCCCATGTGACACTGTAGTTGCCTATTTACTTCTCTGCCCACCCCACACCCTAGACTGAAGTTCCTTCGGTTCACAAATTTCAGGCTTCTCCTCCATTTGACTCTTGGCAGCTAGCACAGTGCCCTCCTTGAAGGCCCGTGAAGTTTCAGGAAGAGTTGATCACACGACCTGCCCGGCCGTAGAGCACCTCCACGCCTCCACGGAGCCGACTCCCCTGGTGTGGCACGGCTGTGATGGATCATTTCTTCATCCATCTCCTCCCTCTGCCAAGTCATCAGAAAATGCTGAGCACCTATGGAAAACCCTGAACACACTCCGCCTGTTCTGTCTGGTTTTCATTTTATGTTGTGCTGTTTTTTTGGTACAATAAACAAGGTGAAAGCAAGGAAGTCAACAATGTGGGGTTTGAGGAGGTTTCAACAAATGAATGCTACCTTGCTGTGTTCTGTTTTGAGCACGTGCATCCCTGGTTTACACTGAGAGCTGGAAAATGACGCTTGGATGGCAGCCAGGTTTCCAGGGGGAATAAACACCTCCAAAGGGACAAATGTTTTTCACAGACTGTGGGTGAAATGGAGACGCAAATATTTAAAAATAAATATATAAAAAAGAAGAAAGAAAAGAAAAGGCAAGGAGACCCTGCTGACCTTAGTTCCCAAATGAGCTAAAAACAAGTTTTTATAGTAACATTTTCTGCATCCAAAGAAACAAAATTTCGTATTTTCACTACTCTCAGAATAAGTATTTCTGTGTGTTGCTACTCCCAGAACGAGTATTTCTAAAATGTCATTTTTGAGATTGAACAAAGGGCTTCAGTCTTTAAGCCACAAGTTACTCATCTGTAAAATAGGAATACTGATAATTCCTCGCTCCCTGGGTAATTATGAGAATGAAATGAATTGTTATACAAAGATACAGATTGGGGCCAGCGTGTGGTGAGTTCCATATAATTGTTAGTCATCACTGTCTTCATCATCACCATCATCATCATCACTGTCATCACCACAATCACCACCATGATCATCAGCATCATCACCACTGTCATTATCATCACCTTCATCTCCACCATGATCACCACCATCATCTTCATCATCACCACCAGTGTCATCATCACCACCACCATCATCACCACCATTGTCATCATCACCACCATCATCATTACCATCATCATCACCACCATGATCATCACCATCACCACCATTATCACCATCAACATCACCACCATCATCATCACCACCACCATCATTACCATCACCACCATGATCATCACCACCATCACCATCACCATCATCACCACCATTGTCATCATCACCACCATCATCATTACCATCATCATCACCACCATGATCACCATCACCACCATTATCACCATCAACATCACCACCATCATCATCACCACCACCATCATTACCATCACCACCATGATCATCACCATCACCACCATTATCACCATCACCATCACCACCATCATCACCATCACCACTGTCATTATCATCACCTTCATCTCCACCATGATCACCACCATCATCTTCATCATCACCACCAGTGTCATCATCACCACCATCATCATCACCATCACCCTCATCACCACCATTGTCATCATCACATCACCACCAGTGTCATCATCACCACCACCATCATTATTACCACCAGTCATCATCACTGTCACCACCATCATCACCATCACCACTATGATCATCATCACCACCATCATCACCATCCCCATTGTCATCATCACCATCACCACCATCATCACCACCACCATCGTCACCATCACCACTATCATTATCATCACCTTCATCTCCACCATGATCACCACCATCACCATCACCACCACTGTCATCACCACCACCATCATCATTACCATCATCACCACCATTATCACCATCACCACCATCACCATCATCATCACCACCACCATCATCATCACCACCATTGTCATCATCACCACCATCATTACCACCATTGTCATCATCACCGTCACCACCACCATCACCACCACCACCATCACCACCACCATCATCATCATACCATCATTATCATCATCATCATCATCACCATATTCAGGAACCTGGGAATCTGGTGTGATTAGAAATCAGGTGTGCAACCTAGCAGAGGGAAACTGGAAACCCAAAGTTGACTACAGGCAGAGTACAGAATTTCCTCTAGGCCTTAGTTCCCCCAACTGTAGAAATGGAGACAGCAAAAGCTCGTACTACCAGCTTAAGAGAGTTTGAGCTACGGCAATGCAGTTACTATTTCCATGGCTGCAGACAGGAAGGTGTTAGATCCATTATTGTTAATAGTAATGTTTATTTTGGAAAAGAGGGTCAAAGTAGGATTAGTTAATATGTTTATAATCTGTATTTGTTCTCAATCTATTTATGGACCCAGAAATGAAGGTGGTCTAGTTCTCTAAAATGCAAAACACTGATGATAAACAGAACCTCCAAACTGGGCAGTTTTCCATTATCCCTGGCCTTGGGTGAGTCTTTCCACCTACTTGGAATAACGCCCCCACCCCCTCTTCTTCTGAGAGTTCCCACTTGCCCTCCATGCTCAACACAGTCGCTTTTCACTTATCAAATAGTCCAAAAATCTAAAACATGATCACCCCATCATTGTCCCTTTACACCCAGCAGTCGGGGTGGGGGGATTAATTTTCACAAAGAATGGTTGGGTAAAGCAGAGCTGAAGTATTAAAAAGGAGCCCATACCTTTCTGCCTAGCAATTTAATTTTAAAATTTACATTTTAAAAACTTTACATTCTAAGCATTTGTCCTGGAGAACTAATCATGGATTGGCAGCAGGCACTGGCTCAAGGGATGATCACCCCAGCACTGTTTGAACAGCAGAATAATGGGAGACCACCAACATGTTCCGCTTAGGAGATGGCATGCTTGCATGCTGGAATACTAGGCAGCTATCAGAAATGTTTTTATGGGAAAAGAAAACACTTAGTAAAATGGAAAGATGCTATGATGTTTCAAGTGGAAAAAAGACAACATTCAAAATAGCGAGGGTGGCCTTACATCCTGTTGTCCCCTCTCACTCTTCACACTCCCAGTTAGGACCATGAAGTCCCGGGTCACCTTAAAGTTAGAATGCAGAGCAAGGTCCCGTCTTCATGGAAAACATTGCCTGTACTTCTTCGTAGAAAAACGACCAGAAGAACATGCTCCAGACATTGGTGGTGATTGCCGCCGGGAGCGGTGTTAGGAGCAGAGCTCCCAGATGGCCCATTTGGCACCAAATAGCACCACTTCCTGCCCGGTTTTTCCTGATGTAATTAATCAGTTAATCACAGTGTCTTCTCTCACTTCTGAAGTGTCCCAATTTGGCTAATAAATTACGTGGTCACCATAGTTCTGAGAGATTCTTACGGTGTTTTTGCCCGTCTCTGTTCTCTAAGCGTTTGTCATCAAGAGAATAAAACCGGAAAAGTGCGGAATGCCTCAACCAAAGCACCACCTTCCTCAGAAAGAGTTCCCCGATCCTCCTGCATGAGACACTCAGGGCTGAGTCCCCAGTGTCACTTCTTGTCTGGCACATGGCAGGTGATGGTATTCAAAGAAACTAGGGCCAGGTGTGGTGGCTCATGCCTGTAAACCCAGCAATTTGGGAGGCCTAGGCGAGTGGGTCACTTGAGCCCAGGAGTTTGAGATCAGTCTGGGCAACATAGCAGACTGCCTCTCTGTCTCCACTAAAAATACAAAAAATTAGCTGTCTGTGGTGGCGTGCTCAGGTAGTCCCAGCTACTCGAGAGGCTGAGCTGGGAGAATCACCTGAGCCTGGGAGTTTGAGGCTACAGTGAGGTGAGATGGTGCCACTGCACTCCAGCCTGGGCAACTGGAGTGAGACCCTATATCGAAAAAAAAAAAAGGAAAGCCCAAAGCCCACCCCTAGCCACGTGGATGACGCTGTGCTGCTAGCAATGGGAAGAAATTAAAACACTCCTCATGCAGACACAGAAAACATGCCTCCTCCAAGGATTCCGTTCCACCTGCTGGTCGGCAGGGCCGCCCACTCCCTCTGTGGGGGATATTTTCCTGGCTCCATTTAGCTGGTGTTTGCCCCCAGTGAGGGCCCTCCATGTGGGAGAGGAAGAAATTGACCCAGGAACCAAGCCTGAGACAGAAGCACCGAGTGTCCACCTTTGTACTGTGCAGAGCTGCAATGCACTCCTGTCTGTTTTTCCAGGGATTTTTTTCCACCCACCTTTGAACTACCTTGAAACAATAAAGTGTTCTCTTTTGACAGGCTGGCCTAATGGGAAGGTTGACCTGATTTCCACTCTCCTACCGAAAAGTGACAATGCAGCTGCCGGGCCAAGGAGGGACGTTGTGTGACCAGTTCAGAGGCAGGAGTTCACGCGGCTGCAGTGACCCTCTGCAAAAGGAAGCAACTGGACATTTCCTCTACACATTGTCTCTTTTGAAAAGTTCCAAGTGAGGAATATTTGTACTTGATTGTTTTTCTTTCCTTGCATGCCAGCAAAAACTTGCTCAGTTTAGGAGAAACGGAGAAAAAGCCTGGGTTATTAAATTTTAGCGGACAATCATGTTCAAGCCAAGGAAAGTGCGTGGTGACTTCCCCAGGAAGAGCTACCTCTGCCCAGCACCCATAACCACCCCAGACCAAGAGGCCTGAGCACAGTTTTGGGACATAGATTTCAGGTCAAGTTGACTGTCATGCTTACAACCCTTTAGTGCTCCCTGTTACTTGGGCAGGGGATCTCTGTCTGCTTTTACCTGGAAATCACGAGGGATACGCATAAAAATACTGAGCCTGGGCCTCGCAGACCAACCTGAACCTCCAGGTGTGGTGTGTGTGTGTGTGGTGTTTATGTGTGTGTGGTTTGCGTGTGGTGTGTGTATGTGTGTGGTATGTGATGTGTGGGTGGTGTGTGTTTATGTGTGTGTGATGTGTGTATGGTGTGTGTGCGTGATATGTGTGGTGTGTATGCGTGTGATGTGTTCATATGTGTTTATATGTGTGTGTGATGTGTGTATGGTGTATGTGTGATATGTGTGGTGTGTATGTGTGTGTGGTGTATGTGTATGGTATGTGATGTGTGTGTGGTTTGTGTGTGGTGTATGTGTGTGGTATGTGATATGTGGGTGGTGTGTGTTTATGTGTGTGTGATGTGTGTATGGTGTATGGGTGTGATATGTGTGGTGTTTATGTGTGTGTATGTGTGTTTATATGTGTGTGTGATGGGTGTGTGTGATGTGTGTGGTGTGTGTGATATGTGTGGTATGTGTCCATGCATGTTTATGTGTGTGTGGGGTTTGTGTGTATGTGATGTATGAGCATGATATATGTTGTATGTGGTGTGTGTGTGTGTGTGTGTGTGCTTTGATTCTTTGAAAAATTCATCAAGTGACTCTAATATCTTTTTGTTATTATTTTTTTAAGGTCACCAAGTGACTCTAACATGCAGCCAGGCTCGTATCACAGCTGCTGGCCTCAGTCCATTTGCAGGTGGCTTCTTGCTGCCAGCACCGGTGATCCCATCCCATGGGTGTCTCTGGCTGAGGGAGCATGCCTAACCCACTCAGGGGCAGAAAGGTTTGCTGTGGGGTGGATGGCCCAGGAACAGCCTCCGCCAACTCGGGTTGAAGGATCAATACCCCAGCTCCCTCACCGCTCATGCAGACCACCTGAGGGGTGCTCCCCACTGTCTCTAGGAAGCCTCTGATGGGTCTGAGTCCAGGTGCCCCCAGTGAAGCCTGAGTGTCAGCACTCCCCACCGTGGCTTCCTTCCCTTCTCTGTCACATGTCCTCATACTCCTACTAAGCTTCTTGGGATCCACCCAAATAATCTCCTGGCACTCAGTGCTCGTCTTGGGTCTGTGGACAGTCCCTAGAAGAAAACTCGACAGTTTCCAATGAGCCTGTAGCACTGCACAATCTGGTCACATGGTGTCCCCTCCTCAGTACCCTCCCCTTGGCCACCCAAGCTTCCTGTGTCTGCCTTGAGTGTCCAGCTTCATCTGTGCCTCTGATGCAGTGCTCAGCTTTGAACACTGTTCCTGTCCTTCCCCTTCCCTTAACCGTCTAAATCCTACACATCCTCGGACCTCAAGTAATGCCCCTCTGTAGGACAGCCTTCCTCAGTCCCCCTGCCCATCCTTTTGGTTTCTCAGCATTAGAGCATCTGCCCAGACCTTCTTCCCTTGATGCCACCATTTCTCTCTGTCTCCACAGAGACAGTGTCCAGTGGAGCTGTCTGTGCCCAGTCCAGCTCACTACTCTCCTGTTCTAATACACTTCACCTGCTCCCAGCCCAGCACCAGGGTGCTCAACCCTGGCAGCCCATGGGCATCCCTGGCAGCCCTTGAAAAAACATTGACCCCCTCAGTCCTGTCCCCCAGATTCTGCTTTCTGGGGGTACAGCCTGGATTTCTGGATTTCTAGTGCACATCCCAGGCTGAGAAACCAGCACTAGAATCTCACCTCACTGAGCTCCAGCCACACAAGCTCCTCTCTGATCTGTGGGCATGGCCAGTAGAGCCCATGCTGGGCCTCCGCACATGTTGCTGCCTCTCCCCAGAATGCTGTTCCTGTCTCTTCCATGGGGATGGTGTTCCTTCATTTTTCCCTTCAGGTTTAACTCCATCATGAATTTTTGAGAAGAGCCTTCTCTGATCACCCCAGCAGTGCTCTGTTTCATCAAGCACTGGCCACAGTCTCATGGTCTTGTCTGCTTGTTGATTTTCTGTCTTTCCCACCTGGAAGGTGAGTTCCAGGAGGGCAGGGATGGATGTCACTCACCATTGTGGCCTCATTTTCTGAATGAATGAATGAATGAATGAATGGATGGTAAATTCTGGCTTATAGTGCTCCTGCTCTTAAGGGCACCATGCCAGTTGCTTTGCAGGAGGCCAGGCTGGTGGCCTCCACTCTCATTTTTGTGATTCCAATACTCAATTCCAAGGCTCATCTAAAACCATCTTTTCTCTTCTCAACGGAATCCACACCACCAGGCTCAAACCTGCCTCCTTCAGCAAGCCTCCCCAGGACCCTCCTCACACGTTCCCTGATGACACATTCAGGCACACACATTTATTGTGCACCAGCTGAATGCCAGCCGCAGCGCTTAGGTGGAGATTCAGCTGTGAACAGCATCATTGCGGAGCAAGCCAGACCTGTGGTACAGAACCACAGAGGCAAGGAGCCACAGCACCGGAGATTGGCAGGGCCAGGGACCATCCCTCCCATCACCCGTCTCCTGAGCTAGATGGAGTTGGGCTGCTGAGTGGTACCCGAAGCATCCTAGGGCTCCTGTTCTCAAACCATTTTCTTGTGTGTGTGTTTTTTTGTTTCTGTTTTTGTTTTTTTTTGTTTTTGAGACAGAGTCTCGTACTCTCACCCAGGCTGGAGTGCAGTGGCGCAATCTCGGTTCTGCAACCTCTGCCTCCCGGGTTCAAGTGATTCTCCTGCCTCAGCCCCCCGAGTAGCTGGGATTACAGGGGCCTGCCACTGTATCCAGCTAATTTTTGTATTTTCAGTAGAGACGGGGTTTCACCATCTGGCCAGGTTAGTCTCGAACTCCTGACCTCGTGATCCGCCCACCTCGGCCTCCCAAAGTGCTGGGATGACAGGCCTGAGCCACCGTGCCTGGCCATTTTCTTGTTTAAGATGAACTTTTGCTGCCTCTATCTGCCTGGTGTTTGCACCCAGTGCAAGCTGTCCATGTGGAAGAGGAAGAAATTAACTGAGGAACCAGGCCTGAGACAGAAGCACCAAATGTGCACCTTTGTACCCTGCAGGGTTGTGATAAACTCCTCACTGTTTTGCAAGGATTTTTTTCTACTCACCTGTGAACTACCTTAAAAAATAAAGTGCTCTCTTTTGACAGGCTGACCTAATGGGAAGGTTGTCTTCCTTCTTTTTGGAACTCCTACAGAATTTCTCCTAGGCCACAAAGCTACAATGTGGGACTTTCCTTACTTAAAACGTTACTGCCGTTTTCATAGTCAACAATTCCATCCAGCACAAAGGCAAGAGAAACTGATGAGTCATGGCCATCTTTAAAGGGAAACGAAAAAACAGGTGGAAAATAAATATTTAGGAAGGAAAGGAATAGTTCTCATTCTCATAAAAATGAGAGAGGAAAATGCCTTATTGTATATTTCTTCTTATGTTCATAATCCTTTTAACCAAGGGTGTTGACGAGGAGCATTTGTATAGAAATCTTAGATGCTCTGAAGTCAATGCTTCATCTGACCCAATACATCACACACTCTCACACTCATACACTTTTACAAACACATATTCACACACATGCACACACTCTCACATATTCGCACACACACATTCTCACACCCCCACAAAGCTCAGACACTTACACACTCACCAAGCCTATGTCATCCCCCCTGTTTTTTTTTTTTTTTTTCAGTCTCTAAAAAGCTGCATGTACCAAAATGAGCAAAATAAGTGAGGTATGGAATCCACCTTGTTGAAGGGCTGGGTATTATTGGTCAGCTGGTAAATGAAAGCACATGGAGAAGTGATACGTTCAGGAACACGCTGCGACTGTATTACCCCCTGCTTTATTGGTTCATCTCTAATCGGAACCAGCTGGTCATAAAGAATAGAGTTCATGGGAATCCACCCTCTGTTGAAAGCCGGGCCAGGGTGGATGCTGGAAGCTGATGAGCACAATGAAAACAGCTGTAATTGACTTGTGAGGTCAGGCTCTGGGTAAAACTAGGGGACAGAGGTGACGCTACAGCTGGTGCATAAAATACTGGGCTGCTGGTTACCCATAATTGTGTAAAGAGGAGCCGAAGAGAAAAGCTTCCAAGTCTTAGGAAGCTGCTCCCAGAAGAGTCTGCTGCTGCCGGCCTGCACCTGGCAGCTCAGAACCACACAGCCACTCTGGGCTGCCTGTTGACATGAGTCACAGTAATTATAATGATGGCACCCATGATCCTGATGATGATGGTGACGATTCCAGTGATGATGAAGATGAAGAGGATAATGATGGTGATGAAGATGATGATGGTGATGGTGGTGATGAGCATAATGGCAGCAGTCAGAAACTCCAAACAGGCTCCGCAAAGCACCAGGAAAATCTCTATAGCAAAGCCTTGAAACCTTTTTCTTTCTTCGAGGCAGGGCCTGGCTCTGTCTTCCAGGCTAGAGTGCAGAGGTGCCATCATAGCTCACGGCTGCCTTGACCTCCTTGGCTCAAGCAATCCTCCTGCCTCCAGCTCTGGTATGGATCACCATGTCTAGCTAATTTAAAAAAATTTTTTTAGGGGAAAGGGTCTCACTATGTTGCCCAGGCTGGTCTCAAACTCCTGGGCTCAAGTGATTCTCTCGCCTCAGCCTCCTAAATGTTGGGATTACAGGAGTGAGCCACTGAGCCTGGCCAAAGCCTTGCGGTGTTAATGCTGCAGGAGTTGCAACCTTGACAACAAAATTTAACAGTTTTCATTTTTTCTTTGTGATTTATGTATTTTAAACACTTTTACCCCCCTAAACAAGGAAACTGGCATCAGAATTCTAGAAATGGAACATACACATTCGCCATCCCCATGCCTCTTCCTGGCTCTAATCAGCCCAGCAGGTCCACCCTTTGGAAAATTGTGATGTGTCAGGAGGGTCTGCGGGATATTTTTAGTGCCTGACAACATCCTACCTCTTCCTCTCCCTATGGGGTTGTGTGATATGCACCTCACTCGATACTTAACATTTCAGTTATTTTTTAATTTATTTTTTATTTTTTGAGACGGAGTCTCGCTCTGTCATCAGGCTGGAGTGCTGGGGCGTGATCTTGGCTCACTGCAACCTCTGCCTCCTGGGTTCAAGTGGTTCTTCTGCCTCAACCTCCCAAGTAGCTGGGACTACATGTGCGCGCCACCATGCCCAGCTAATTTTTGTATTTTTAATAGAGACAGGGTTTCACCATGTTGGCCAGGATGGTCTCAATCTGTTTATCTCATGATCTGCCCACCTTGGCCTCCCAAAGTACTGGGATTACGGGCGTGAGCTTTTACAGATAGATTTTTGAAACAATTTTGCAAATATTTTGAGGTCTGGGGGTGGGTTAGAGTTGGGACCTCCATCTACACTCTGGCTACGCTTCTTTTCTCCAGGCCCAGGTCAGGCAAGTCTCAAGTACACAGTCTGGAGGCAGCTTCACGTTTCCTCTGAACACCGGCTGTCATCCCAGTGCTGGAAGTCAGTGAGATCAAGCTCATCTGTGATTCCTGGAGATGCTGTAGCCAAAACAATGCCAGGCTTCCCTCTTCCAACTTCATCCCTTCACTTCCACTGGCCCCACAGTGAAAGTACCAAGCTAATGCACATGGATCAAGTCCCTTCCTCCCCTGGAAAATTAGCTGCCTGAGGGCAGGGCCTTTCACTGTCTCATTCTGTGACACATCATCAGCCTGACTCAACCCATGTTGGTGTTAGCAGTGTGTAGCCTGCTCACTAAATCCATGTGGGGAAATTACTGTCTACAACCATCCAATGGCCTCACTTCTCCTTGGTGGTGGTGATGATGATGGTGATGGTGTTAATGACAGTGATGACGGTGATGGCGATGATAGTGATGGTGATGATGATGATGATGATGACGGTAATGATGATGGTGATGATGTTGATGGTGTTGATGATGGTTATGGTGATGGTGGTGATGATGGTGATGATGTTGATGGTGGTGATGATGGTGATGGTGATAGGATGATGGTGATGATGGTGGTGATGGTGATGGTGATGATGGTGATGGTGGTGACGGTGATGATGTTGATGGTCGTGATGATGGTGATGGTGATAGTGATGGTGGCGATGATGGTGATGAAGATAATGAGGGTGATGGTGATGATGATGGCGGTAATGATGATGATGATGGTGATAAGTTTTTCTTTTTTATTATCATAACCATTACTAGAACTAATGAAGCAAATTAATCTGTAGTCACAAGGGTTTCTGAATATTTCCAGCAGCAAGAAGACCACTTCTTTTCTATATGTCTTCACCCTAAATTGTGGAAGATGTTATAAAGAAGCTCATTGTCTGACTCTGATCAGTTTGGGTCCAGGAAGGAAATGCCCTGAGGCAGATGGAAAGAGAAGTCTGTTGTCCTGGAACAGAGACTTAGCAGAAGAGAGCAGTGAGAGAGGCCAGCACTTGGAAGCCAGGGAGCACCCCCTGCCCGGCCACTTGGGGTCGTCTCCTCCTTCCCCACACATGGCACACACACCTGCCAGCTGGCCTTTGCTTTGCCAGCCTTTATCCTGAAATGCCCTTTGTCCTTTCCACCAAATCATCCTGCAGGTTGAAACTACGTCCAAGTGCATCAAGCTGTCACCATGTGCCTAGAACAGTGTCCCATTTCATCCTCTCAATAACTCTATGACATAAGGAAGGTAGGCACATTACCTCCATTTCACAGATGAGGAAAGTAAGGTTTCCAGAAGGGACTTCATTTGTCCAAAGTTGCCCTGCTAATATTCAGTAGACCCCACAGTCCCCTCTCCCCATGGGCTTTTTGAGGCACCTTTAGGTTTCTTGGAACCCAGTTCAAAAACCACTGACCTTGTCTCTCGCTTATGGGCTTTTCCAGCCTGTGATGTGGTTATTTTTACAACTTTGGTTCTCTCTTTTGGTCTTGAGATGGTAAGAAGTGGATGAAATTCAACACGCTCTGTACCCAATGGGGCTCACCAGGGGCTTTGAAGGCAAAATGTTTTCTTTCGTAAATCTAGAATTTAGAAAATAAATTCTTCTTCCCTACAGGCAGATGCTCGCCCACCCACCAAGGCTGAGGCCGAAGAAAATTCTGCGATGACAAGGCTCTGCAGGTGCCGTACAGAGCGAGTACTTTTCAGGCAGCTGGCGGAGCCCAGAGCAAGCTTCCCCCGGAGCATCCAAAGGGGCCACTTGGCTGCGGTCGCCATTGTGAGAACAACAGGAAACTGAGCAGGGGCTGCGCTCGTCCTGGGCAGGACAACTCTCCATTTCCCTTCAGGCCTGGCATTGTTTTGCTGATGGAAGAAAAGTGGAATGGGGCGTGATCACACTGCCGGCTCAGCAGCTGGAAAGCTCGTGTTGGCTTAAATGTGCACAAGGTGAGGTCCCTCTCTGCCACTGATCCCCACCTCCTCTCACCACAGGGTGTTTTCTGATCACCAAATGTATGTTGGTTAGAAGACTTGGCAGTTCTCTGACCCCAGAGGTAGAGCTAGAAGTTGACACAGAGTCCCAAGTGGCAACTCCGTCTATGCTGTCTGTTGGTGATGATGGGCCGGGCGTCCCAGGAGGAAGAGGACTTCCCAAGATCCCTTTCTGAGACGGGATGGTGCAGAAGAGACACTGGCTAGGAGAAGGAGGGTTGCGGGGGCTCCAGGGCTCCTCTGCTCCTGAGTGTCAGTGGAGGGTGGGCATTGACCAGACCTAAGAGTCTTTGAAGCAAGGTCATGGGCAACCATGACTGCATTCCAAGAGGCCCAAAAGATGGAAGGCCCAGGAGACCCCCAAGAATGAATGTGTGATGAGCAGCCAGGCCCTGATCACCCAAGTCCCGGCTTTCAGAGGGGAGGGGTGGGGCGCATAATATTTATCAGAATTGTCATTAGATTAGAGCACTAGTTTTGCAAGCTCCATAAGGTTAACAATCTCTGGGGAGCTTTCTATAAAATACTACTTCCCCCTCCCAACTCCAAGGTTCTGAACCAGTCAGTCTGGAACTGCATTTTAACAATATCCTGTGGGTTTCTGATGTGGCTGTGAGTGGGTCACACTCTAAGAAACAAGGTCTTAGAGCAGCGGTTATCAAACTCCAGCACCCTGAGGCCCCTGCAGAGCGTGTTCACCCCCAGATGGCTAGGCCCTTGCTAGGGTCTCTGATTCAACAGGTCTAGGGTGGAGCTCCAGAACCTGCATCTCCAACAGGGTCTCAGGAGAGGCTTTCTGCTCTTCCCACCACCCTCCTTTGAGAACCACTCTTCTTTCTTGGAAAAAAACCATCAATTTGGTCATGTCAACGTCTCAAAGGCAGGGGAACCAGGCCTTCGCCATTTTCTATCCCCCAGCACGGCGGACTCATCTCTGGCTGGTTGTGTTCGCCTTGAGAGTTTTTTAAAAGTTCTGGTGATATTTTCATCTGGGTGAGCTGCCAGCTACATTTCTAAAGGCCACCCTCCCCCAGGTGATGCTGAGGTGCAGTCAGAGCAGAGAGTCCCTGTCCCACCGTGCCTGGCACAGTGCAGGCAGTCAGGTTTAGTTTTTATGTCAGTGTTTGTTGAGTGCCCACTGCAGGCTTTCACTGGTATTTATTGAGTGCCTGCTGTCTTCCCAGTACCTGCAAGAGGCAGTGGAGGTGGGAGAAAAAGGGACCTGCCCAGTCCTCAAGCAGTTCACAGCCCACTGGGGTGACAGGTGTGCAAGGCACCCAGGTAGGAGCTCCAGGTGAAGAATGGCAGGTGCCCTAGGACCGCAAAGCAGAGTGAAATGACTCAGCTGAAGGTGAGGCAGGGTGTGAAAGGTTCCAGGAGAAGGGAAAAGCTGAGCCTGTTTTGAAGGACGGCTCAGGAAAAGGCAGGCTGGGATGGCTCAATTTCAGGCTGCTGGGATGGCCACACAGCGACAGCATCGTGAAACAGCATGGAGCATTCCACGAACTCTGGGCAGGCTGGAGTCACTGGAGCATGGAGCATGAGGCAGGAGTGATGGAGGATGAGGAAGGAGACAAGAGCTCATCAGGAACATGCATGTTTAGATGTAAACTGCCTTCGGAGCATCAGTTATGATTCATTTGCCCTCATGGAGAGATGGAAGTTCAGTGACGCACAGCAAGCCATCAGCCCTGGTGCAGCCGCATGGGGACCCGATCGCCGCCCCTCCCAGGCAGGGAAGCACAGCGCATTGAGGCGATTCCTATAAAAAGCACGACTCTAACTCCTTGCTGGGAGCTTTTGGCGCTAGCATTCCTGTTGGAATCCCAGTGCCCTTCTCCTAGGAATGAATGGGAAGAGATGGGGAGAGGGCTGCTTGCCTGGAGAGCTGGTCTCTGGTCCTGTTCCAGCCATTCATTCACTGGGTCACCTTAGCTGAGCTTCTTCTCATTGCTGCCTATAAAGTGAAATTGTGCAGAAAATCTGAAGACTACTCTAGATTGTTCCATTTTAGCAAGGTGTTTCCTGGTGCACCAATGCATGAATGGAGGCAGTGCTGGGAGAGGGAGGCTGCAGACTCCCCGGGCTTCCTTCATGTGCCAGGCCTCCCTTTACATGCTCTTACCAGCTTGGCAAAATTCCCTTCCTGCCACATCCTTGGACAAGCCCTGAACACCACGAAGCAAAGTGCAGGCAACGTCCCTCCGCGTGAGCCCACAGCTTCCTCAGCTCCACACCTTCCAGCCAGGAGAGCTCCCCAGGTCACAGGCCCTTGAACAGAAATCAGTCTAGTCAACAATGTTTTGGAAATTAAGACCAGGCCCTGGCTCCTCAGGGAGGAGCGAGAAGCCCGTGGGATCTGCGGCCTCTTCCTCACGAACTGCCTCCATTCACAAACTAATGTGCCAAGAGAAAACTTGCTAAAGCGGAAACGGCCTAGAGTTCCACTAGAGATCCCACTGTGTTCTTCAGATTTTCTGCCTAATTTCACTGGAACTCCAGGTTCAGAGGCAGGCAGGCCTGGACATTGAATCCTGGACTCCCAGCTGCACTCTGGTGAGAAGATGCTGGGGCTTTATCCTTGACTTTACCTTCCTTCGTGTGCAGATCCTGTGTCCACGCAGCTACCCACTGCCTCACATCCACTGACAGCTTCATGCTGTTCTTAGGATGAAGGCCTGGTATTGATTCAGTGCTCCATACATAGTGGTGGCTGCAATTGGGATTCTTCGGAGAGTGGCCCCAGGAATCTCCCTCAAGCTCGCTGGCCCTCAGTCTTCTGTGCTAGGAGCCAAGGAAGGCCTCTTTCCTGCATATTCCTCCAGGTAACTGGGATAAACACTTGGGAAACTGATGGGAAAGTCTTGGGACACCATGATGACCCAAACTGTGTGGATAGGGCAGGCCTCAGGGGCTTGCTTTTTATGTCGAACCTCCCATCATGTGCTCTCACCAGCTTGGCAAAATTGCCAAGGTACGTTTCTGTCACTTGCAATCAATAGAGTTTGAGAAATACATGCAAATGATGATGAGAAGCGAAGATATGCAGAAGGATGGATTCCCATCTGAGTGGGCAGCCTGATGCCAGGGCTGGCATGCAGCTGTGTGTCCATCCACTGGTCCACTGGCGGGTGCACTCTGCCTCCTCCCACTCTGCTGTGTGTTGCAGGGTGGCTCAGGGCTGCACTCCAGTCCCCCCCATGTCTGCTGGCTTCCACCTGGTTCAGCCAACAAGGGACCCTGCGGACAAGCAGAGTAGGAGGAAGGGAGGAGCCAGGGCGTTCTCTCTCCTCCTCCTCCTCAGCCACAGGCACTGTCTCCCCTGCAGCACCAGCACCCCAGCAACCAGGGCCCTGATGAGCACATCCACAGGGTGGCCCTGCACTGCCTCCTCCCTCTGCCCCAGCTCTGGATGGTGTGATGGGGGAGGCCTTCGCTCCTGCTCACCAGCACCCCAGCAACCAGGGCCCTGATGAGCACATCCATGGGGTGACCCTGCACTGCCTCCTCCCTCTGCCCCAGCTCTGGATGGTGTGATGGGGGAGGCCTTCGCTCCTGCTCACCTGTGGGTTTCTCCCTGTCCCCTGCTCCATTTCTTAGCAAAGCCATCAAGTATGTGGCCAATTCCCTGCATTAAATTCTCTCTGTTTTCAATATTCAGAGTGTTTTCTCCTTTTCCTGTTTTGACTTACACCAGTACAAACAGCAAATAGGTTTCCACTTACATCATAGAAATAGGGAGCACAGGAACAGTGAGGGGACAAAAATAAATTTAGAGCTACCAGAGCCAGTGTGAGGCTAGACCAGACAGGGGTGAGTGTGAGGCTAGACCAGACAGGGCCTTACTCACCACAGGGGCGAGTGTGAGGCTAGACCAGGCAGGGTCTTATGTGCCACAGGGGCAAGTGTGAGGCTAGACCAGGCAGGGTCTTATGTGCCACAGGGGCAAGTGTGAGGCTAGACCAGGCAGGGTCTTATGTGCCACAGGGGCAAGTGTGAGGCTAGACCAGGCAGGGTCTTGTGTGCCACAGGGGCGAGTGTGTGGCTAGACCAGGCAGGGCTTTACTCACCACAGGGGCGAGTGTGAGGCTAGACCAGGCAGGGCCTTACTACAGGGGTGAGTGTGAGGCTAGACCAGACAGGGCCTTACTCACCACAGGGGCGAGTGTGAGGCTAGACCAGGCAGGGTCTTATGTGCCACAGGGGCAAGTGTGAGGCTAGACCAGGCAGGGCTTTACTCACCACAGGGGTGAGTGTGAGGCTAGACCAGGCAGGGCCTTACTACAGGGGTGAGTGTGAGGCTAGACCAGACAGGGGCGAGTGTGAGGCTAGACCAGGCATGGTCTTATGTGCCACAGGAGCGAGTGTGAGGCTAGACCAGGCAGTGCCTTACTCACCACAGGGGCGAGTGTGAGGCTAGACCAGGCAGTGCCTTACTCACCACAGGGGTGAATGTGAGGCTCGACCAGACAGGGCTTCACGCACCACAGGACGAGTTTGGGTAGCAACTTGATGCAGTGGGGGCCCCTGGTGCACCTTCACAAGGGTCAGGGGGCTGGGTAGCACCACCAGACAGTCCTCAGCAGGGGTCATGTGTGACAGGATCTGGGACACATCCTGAAGTGAGGACCTGACTTCTACAGGCCAGCATGTGCTGCGGACTTAGAGAAATGTGATCCAGAACTTCCAGGGGTTCCTCCTCACTCACTTGCGGATTTCAAAGGCCAATCTTGGAGGAACTTTCCGGGGGCTCTCTCAGCTCCTCGAGTGAAACAGAACACTGTATTAGGGTTTGGGTGACTCCAGGAGCCAGCGAGGCGGAGGGCCCGGGGACTTCAGCGGAGGCAGCAACAAAGAGCCCAGTGACCCAGCAAAGCCTGAAGCAGCCCAGACATGAAAGGCATATGCTGGAAAAATTAACTCAGTGTTTGCTTTGGGAACCAGTCTGACGGCTCTTAATCCAGTGGGCGTTGTATGTTCCAACTCACGGGACGTCCCAAATCCCTCGGCGGGACGACAAAGCCCCATTTGTGAGGTTTCATCGATGCCCTGGAGGGCGCCTACCACCCAGCCGCTCACTCCCAGCAGCAGCCTGCCGTCCATGGACGGTCAGCCTTCTCCTCGAGGCCTGTGCCACGGCTGGCTTTGTGTTGCCCTTTCCCTCTTACCCACTTTAGAAAGACGAAAGGAATATAGAAGTCGCCGGCCGAGCGCGGTGGCTCACGCCTGTAATTCCAGTAATTTGGGAGGCCGAGGCAGGTAGATCATGAGGTCAGGAGTTCAAGACCAGCCTGACCAAGATGGTGAAACCTTGTGTCTACTAAAAATACAAAAAAAAAATTAGCTGGGCATGGTGGCACGTGCCTGTAATCCCAGCTACTCCAGAGGCTGAGGCAGAGAATTGCTTAAACCTGGAGGGGCGGAGCTTGCAGTGAGCTGAGATGGCGCCACTGCACTCCAGCCTGGGCAACAGAGCGAGACTGCGTCTCAAAAAAAAAAAAAAAGAAGTCGCCAAGTCCCGGAGTGGAAAATGTATGGATGCTCTGTTTCTTAAACATGCATCAGTTAGGTTGAGTAGGTGAGAGGAAGGATGACTTTGGCCCTGGAAGGAGAGGACAGCAGGCATAGCTTCAGTGAATAAGACACAGAGGCAGGAACTGCTCTCTTCCATGAAATATATCAGTGGAATCATAGCACACACAGGCACACATATGAGCACATGCAAAGTACACATGAACACACATGAGCACACACAGGCACACATGCAAACCTGGGTACACGTGCACACACATGCACACATGAGCACACACAAAGCACACATGAACACGTACACACTAACACACGAGCACATGTAAACTACACATGAACACACAGGTGCACACATGAGCACACACAAAGCACACACGAACACACACATGCACGAACACACACATGCACGAACACACACATGCACGAACGCACACAGGCACATGCACGTTTCACTTATCAGAATTCGATTATTATATGTGCTTAAAAAGAAATCATGTTCGGCCGGGCGCGGTGGCTCAAGCCTGTAATCCCAGCACTTTGGGAGGCCGAGACGGGTGGATCACGAGGTCAGGAGATCGAGACCATCCTGGCTAACACAGTGAAACCCCGTCTCTACTAAAAAATACAAAAAAACTAGCCGGGTGAGGTGGCGGGCGCCTGTAGTCCCAGCTACTCGGGAGGCTGAGGCAGGAGAATGGCCTGAACCCGGGAGGCGGAGCTTGCAGTAAGCTGAGATCCGGCCACTGCACTCCAGCAAGGGGGACAGAGTGAGACTCCGTCTCAAAAAAAAAAAAAAAAAAAAAAAAAAAAAAAGAAATCATGTTCTAAATTCCTTTGCCTTCCCTCCTGTTTTAAGAAAACAGCCCCAGGAAAAGGGACCCTCTGGCTATCACTCACAAACAAAAAAGGTAATTTTTGTTTTCATTTTTGTTTTGAGAGGGAATCTCTCTCTGTCACCCAGGCTGGAATGTAGTGATGCGATCTCGGCTCACTGCAACCTCCACCTCCCGGGTTCAAGCTATTCTCCTGCCTTAGCCTCCCACGTAGCTGGGATTACAGTTGTGTGCTACCACACCAGGCTGATTTTTGTATTTTTAGTAGAGGTAGTTTCACCATGTTGTCCAGGTCCTTCACCAAAGAAGGACCCTGACTTCCCACACCGACATTTTGGGCTTTTAGATGTCACACAAGGCGAAGAGAGGTAGGCCTTGTTTCTGTGTTAGGAAAGGCAGAGATAGGGTGGGTTGGGGTGTGTGGGGGGGTTACAAATAGCACAGGAAAAGGAAAGTGTGAAAACGCAGTGCTGTGTGTGTGGCCCAGGCACGCCCTTCACGTTGGTTGAGAGATGAGAGTGAGCAACTTGGCTTTTTTTTTTTTTTTTTTTAAGATGTCCTCTGGTTGCTGGATTTGGCTTCTTTGATGACTGCATTGCCCTGAGACTGGACCCCAGAGGTAAGGACTTCCTGGACAGTACATAGGTGGGTCACTTCCAAATCCAACAAAACCCTTGTGATCGGTAGTACTCTTGAAAATCATGTACCTCACCCTTGAATGGCAGGACTCAAGCCCTAAAAAGCTCAGACATCTAAAAAGTTACCTTTTTCGGCTGGGTGTGGTGTCTCACACCTGTAATCCCAGCACTTTGGGAGGCTGAGGCGGGTGGATCACGAGGTCATACGTTCGAGACCAGCCTGACTAACATAGTGAAACCCAGTCTCCACTAAAAATACAAAAATTAGCTGGGTGTGGTGGCGCATGCCTGTAATCCCAGCTGCCTGGGAGGCTGAAGCAGGAGAATTGCTTCAACCTGGGAGCTGGAGGCTGCAGTGAGCCGAGATTGCACCACTGCACTCCAGCTCAGAGCAAGAGTGCGAGAGTGTGAGACTGTCTCAAAAAAAAAAAAAAAAAAAAGTCCTCACACCTCACCCCTGCCTTTTCTCTCGGGGTCCTCACACCTCACCCCTGCCTTTTCTCTCGGGGTCCTCACACCTCACCCCTGCCTTCTCTGGGGTCCTCACACCTCACCCCTGCCTTCCCTCAGGGGTCCTCACACCTCCAGAATTTTCCTCCCATCCCTTCTAAGCATGTGCACAGGGCCGAGCTCTTCCGTCCTGTAGGGCTCCACCCCAAAGGCCTGCTGGGTGCCACCCTTCACCCTGCTTCTGGCCCTGTATGAGAAACATGGGCCTTTCTCTAGATGTTGGGGTCAGCTCTTATACCCCCAGCTACAACATCAAGACTTCCTCAAGGGCTTCGTTGTGGGCTCCTGGCTAAGAGTCCGGCATAGACAGGTTGGGGTAACTTCAAGGTTCTGGGAACAGAACACCTGCCCCGACTAAAGGCTCAAACCATCTCTGCTCAGCAAAGCCAGGCGTGATGTGCTTGCCAAGGCCCTTGGCAAGAGAGGCAGTGGGGCCTTCAGGATGCTTGGAGGGGCGTGGTGAGGTCCATCCTGAGAGACCTGGGAGGGGCCTGCAGCTCATTTAAGTGGGGAGAGTGGAGAAGAGCCTTGGGGGGGCCACAAAGGTGCCCATGGAGGAGAACGGAGGCAGAGAGGGAGGCCTGGAGGCCTGGAGGCAGCCCTTAGATGGCTTCAGAGTGCGGCTCCCTGACCCTTGCAGCTCAAAATACGAGTGCCCAATGGAGCAAAGAACAACCCAGGGAAAGTGAGAATGGAGAGGGGGCCCTCTTTGGTCTCCTGCTTACAGAAACATTGGTTTTCTAGTGCAGCTACTTCCTGCTAATTTATTCTAAGGGCACAAGATGGGCTCAGCCACCCCTGGAAGCTACTCCCATTCCCCTCAAACAGCTGGCACCCAAAGCAGACCGCAGGCGTTGCAGCTGGGGCTCTAGGGCCAGGCAGGCCCAAAGGTGCATCTCAGATCTCTGTCCTTGCTGGAGTTTGACCTTAGACAAGACACACAGCTGTCCTGAACCTGAGTCTTGTTTCTAAACTGGGGTAATAATGGCGCATACCTCGTGGGTGGCGAAAAAGGCTAAATAGGATGCGTACTCCCAGTGCTCAGGCCAGAGCCTGCCACTTAGCATTTGCTCAATAAATAAGAGAAAGGTCGGTGGGAGGAGGAGAGTTAGAGCACCACCCTCCCTGAAACAGAGGTACACAACGGCCAGGAATGACAAGTACCACTTTCGCAGCTCAGGACATGTATCCAGAGCCACCTGTGATGGTTAGTATTAAGTGTCAACTGGATTGGATTGAAGGATGCAAAGTATTGTCCCTGGCCGTGTCTGTAAAGGTGTTGCCAAAGGAGATTAACATTTGAGTCAGTGGACTGGCTGAAGCGGACCCGCCCTCAGTGCGGGTGGGGACTATCTAATCCATTGCCAGTGCAGCTAGAATAAAGCAGACTTGCTGAATCTTCTGGCCTCCATCCTTCTCCCATACTGGATGCTTCCTGCCCTCAAACATCAGAGTCCAAGTTATCCAGCTTTTTGACTCTTGTGCTTACACCAATGATTTGCCAGGGGCTGTTGGGCCTTTGGCCACAGACCGAAGGCTGCACTGTCGGCTTCCCTACTTTGGAGGTTTTGGGACTAAGAGTGATTCACCACTGGCTTCTCAGCTCCTCAGTTTGTAGACAGCCTATCGTGGGACTTTACCCTGTGATCATAGGAGTCAATTCTCCTTAATAAACTCCCTTTCGTATATACATATATTCTATTAGTTGTGCCCCTCTAGAGAACCCGGACTAATACACCACCCTCAGTGCTCCCGTTCTTGACTAACCAGCCACAGGCCAATCACAGAGGTCGGGGTTCACGGGAAGAACAAGGGAGGGGTCCCATCCTGGAGGAGGCCCAGGTCCGTTGAGATGAGGTCTGCACATAAACGCCATGGAATGCCTCTCCTTGCACTTGGGTCCAAAATGGGCCCTCTGCAGGTGTGCACTGGTAGGACCATTGCACTTGGCATTCTGAGATCACACTTGGATTGTTCTTCAGAAGAAAGCCCGTCACTAGTGTAATTAAAGAGGACAAAAATTAAGTCATGGATATAAAGAAGGCCCCCAGGTTGGACAAAATCATTCCTTTGCCTACATTCCTGAGAGCCCCCGAGGGGACTGCCTCGTGCCCAGTCCGGCTGGGAGGACCCGAGCAGCGGGGGTGGGGTCTGCATGCAGGCTCAGCCCCACCATCAGCTCTGACCCTTTCCCGAGGCAGCGCCAAGGGAAATACATCAGGAGGCTGTGGCTTGGAAACTTGTTATTTATTTATGGGGACACAACTCTGAGTGGTTTAAGTAAACTTCCCCTGTTCTAAAATTTCATTTTGGTAAATATCTTGACCGGCCATGTGTCCATGTTTCTCACCCGTCTTGTCTCTCTCGGGAATCACCAAAGCTGCAGGTGCCTGGTGGTCATCCCACGCGGGTCTTCCTTCCTCTGTACCCTCCCTTCCCACCTGGTTGTCCCAGTCTGAACCCCTAGATGCAGTCTTAGTCTTATTTTCTTTTTATTTATTTGGTTTTTTTGAGATGGAGTCTCACTCTATTGCCCAGACTGGAGTGCAGTGGAATGATCTGAGCTCACTGCGACCTCCGCTTCCCAGGTTCAGGAAATTCTCCTGCTTCAGCCTCCCAAGCAGGTGGGATTACAGGCACCCACCACCACGCCTGGCTAAATTTTGTATTTTTAGTAGAGACAGGGTATCACCATGCTGGCCAGGCTGGTCTCGAACTCCTGACCTCAAGTGACCTGCCTGCCTCAGCCTCCCAAATTGCTGGGATTACAGGCATGAGCCACTGCACCCAGCCAGTCTTATTTTCTAATCAAAGTTATTTGAACTCTTGCAATGACCCCTTCCTATATGGATACCCCAGTATAAAACTGATGATCATTTTCTTAAATGTGGGAACTGTCTCCTTGGTCTGAGGAAATGCAGGTTCAAATCCCAGCTCAGCCACTGCTTAAGTGGATAACCTTGGTCAGGTTATTTAGCTTGCCTATGTAGGGTTTCTCAACGTTTCACACTGCGCTAATAGTGCATATAGGGGAAAGCATATGGTTACCAGGAGTTCCCAGACAAAAGCAGACTATCGTAAACCTAAATTCATTCCCAAGTCATAGGGTTTATCTTGGAAATCCACACCCATTTTTTTTGCTGATAATCTATTGCTGTAGCAGACACGTTATTTGCCTACTCAATGTCCCTTTTTCTCCTTCACTTACAGAATCTCTGAATTATTGGGTGCTTTGACGGTTAATCACTGAACAACAAAGAATCACTCAATAATTGGATGCCTATCTAAAAACACTTCCCAACCTCCTTTGCATATAGACATGACCAACATGCTGAGGTCAATGTGTAGGGGTTTCCAGGAAGGCTCTTTAAGGAGAACCAATTCACCTGCAAGGTACGTTTCACCCCTTTCTCCTTCTTCCTGCCTGGATGTGATGACAAGCACTACCGCAGCCATTTTGTGCTAATGAGGCAATCTCTAAGTGAAGTGACATGTTTTGGATGGGGGAGCAGAAAGGAAAATAAGCTTGGGTATTGATGACATCATGGGGTCACTGTAACAGCCCATTCCTTCACATAAAGAAGGAACTCCCAATTCATGTGAGCCACTTGTATTTTAGGTCTCTATTATCAGCAGTTAAGTACAATTCTGAGATCAGTTATGATGATTGTTTCACGATAAAAATATTTACAACAACTCGGCCGGGCGCGGTGGCTCACGCCTGTAATCCCAGTACTTTGGGAGGCCGAGGCGGGCGGATCATGAGGTCAGGAGATAGAGACCTTCCTGGCTAACATGGTGAAACCCCGTCTCTACTAAAAATACCAAAAAAAAAAAAAACATAGCCGGGCGTGGTGGCGGGTGCCTGTAGTCCCAGCCTCCTCGGGAGGCTGAGGCAGGAGAATGGCTTGAACCTGGGAGGCGGAGCTTGCAGTGAGCCGAGATCACACCACTGCACTCCAGCCTGGGCAACAGAATAAGACTCCATTTAAAAAAAAAAAAAAAATATATATATATATATATATATAAATTATATTTGCAACAACTCACCATGAAGCAAACTAATGCTCTGGAAATAAGTGTCCTCCCCTCCTAGGTGTTCATTTCCCTGGTTCTCCGTGTTCCCTCCCCAGCATGCATGTCCCAGAGAAAGAAGTCAGGTATGGTGGGGGCCGTGGCCTGCACTTCCACTCAGAACCCCCCCGCTCTGCCCCCTGCCCTTCTGATGGAGTGAGCACCCCTGGAGCACCACCTACAACTCCAGACCCAAATGTGCTCTTTCCTTGCCTGGCTGAGAGTGGCTCCCTGGCCAACATGACGGGGGCCAGCTAGGAGAGGGGATGGAGCCCTGTCAGTGAGCTGTGTCCCCTATGTCAACTTGGCTGCTGAGGGGCTGGGTGACCTTGAGTGTGATCTTTGACCTCTTTGGTATCCTTGACTTCCTTCATGCATTGAGGGGAATGAAGCAGATGTCCCGTCCCGAGACACAAGCTCACAAGGACCTTGGAGTGATGTGGTGATGAGCTGGAGCTTTATGGTCACAGAGAGTTGAGTTCAAATCTCGACGGTGTTATTCACCTGCTGTTTGAACCTCTGGTTTCTGTAACATCTCTCTCTAGCGCTGTGTTCATGACATGGGGATAATGAGACACCCACCTCACACGGCGGGGTATAAGAGTTTGCTGGGGTGGCCACAACAAAGGGCCATAAACCAGGTGGCTTAGAACCATGGAAATTTATTATCCCATGTTCTAGAGGCTACGAGTCTGAGACGGAGGTGTCAGCAGGGCTGGTTCATTCTGGGGCTTGAGGGACTCTTTGCTGCAGGCCTCGCTCCTGGTAGCTTCAGGGGTTCCTTGGTTCCTAGAGCACTGTCTCCTCCCAGTCTTCACATCGCCCCCTCTCCATGCACGTCCATCTCTGCGTCCAAATTCCCCTTTCTATAAGGACACCAGTCATACCTAGGAGGCCCACCACCCTGTGACAGTCTCAAGTCGATCATCTACATAAGGCCCTATTTCCACATAGGGCCACATTCACAGGTATTGGGGGTTAGGACTTCAATGCTTTTTTGGGGGTACACAATTCAATCCATAAGAGGAGTTGGCTTATTCATGTCAAGCCGTGCCCTGCAGCCTCTGAAAGTGCTAACCCCCCGCCATATTCTCTGTTGCCATTATTCTGTACTCTGTTGTCAACGCAATAGGTTTTCATTGACAAGAGCAAAGAGGGCTGCACCCGCGCCACTCATTCTGCTGTGGAGGTTTGCAGCTGACAGTGGCAAACCTCGCTGACTTGGTGAAATCATTCTCTGACCTAAATGGTTGACTGGGAGCTGGAGCTGACCTCCTCCTTCACACTTATTGGACAGACAGACTCAGACAAGGGGTCAAAAGTTCCACATCTCTCCAAATTCCCCAGGGCTTGAGATTGTATTTTACCATGGAATGAAATTCATTCGAAGGCTTCTTCATTTTCCATAGACCTTGCCAGAATATGCCATGCAGAAAGAGTGGCTGGAAATTCTAGTCAAGTCCCAGCTTTGCCTGTTTTGAAATTGGTCCCTCTTCTTCTCTTTGATTCCCTTCTTCCGCTCTGTAGGGAGGAAATTCAAAATATTCACCATTTTCCACCTGTTTTCACCACTTTCAGGTTTCTGAACATGGTGGCTCTTTGGAAACGACTAGAGAAGTAGGTTGTTGCCATTCTCTTTGTGAGCAGAGAGGGGCCTGCTTATGGCATTTTTGGATTCAGCACTCACTGGGCTTCTCCCAATGTCCTTGATAAATAAATCATCCTTAAATGAGACAATCTTTGAATAGCTGAGCAGTGACCTAAAAAATTAAGGCTATTAGGAAATGGGAAACACGTCAGTCTCTGAGTCATTGGTTCTTTTTATTTTTCATGTATGTGTTGAATCTGTGTGAAATTCCTTCCCCCCACCCCCAATTATAAATAGAAACCAATGTGTTTTTCAGTTGGGCTTTTTTTTTATGAGGTTTTTCCCACAGACAAAAGGGATTTCACTTTCAGGAAGAAGGGCTGCCAAAGGCAAGAGGTCTGTAAGATGGACGTGGATTGGGGCCACGCGTCTCCTCTCCAGATTCAGCCTTGGCATGCCGTCCTCTGCCGGATACCAGGGCCTTTTTTTTTTTTTTTCCTTGAGCCTCTTGCAGCTTAGAGAAAACACCCCAAAGTTGGAATCAGAAGATGCAAGTCTAGCCCTGATCACCGTGGCTCACTGGTGGTCCAGCGTGGAACCTGCCTTTGCTCATCGAATATCAACTGGCTCATCTGGTGCCGTTCCGCTCAACTAGCAGCTAAATTGGCCTTGGTGCTCAGAGTCTGAATACTGCAAGATACGCAAAGGAAAAAATCTCCGCAGCTCTCGGAAGCCTGGATGGGAAGGCCCCTGATGAGGAAGGAAGAACAGAGGAGGTGGCGTGGCGCTGGAGGACAAGGGAGCCTCCTCCCAGGCCACAGGGAAACGGACACAGGGACGCTAGAGGCAGCCGGTGCCTCAGGATCTGCCTGAGAGACTCCAAACCTGGCTGCACAGCTCCACAATCCCTTTTCAGCAATTCCAATATCCCAAATGTGAAAACCGAATAAAAAAATAATCAAAGTTCAACTGGCAGCAAAACCTGCCACCCTGAACATGCGTGAGACCGTCTTTAACCTCAGTTTCTCCCTCTTAGCTTGAATGCTGAAACCGTCCCTGCAGAACTGTTCATGAAAGGCTGCCCCAAACCCTGTGGGGAGTTATATTATGCGGGGTCTGTTCACCATGTTTCCTTCCACAACCCACGACAGTTCTGAGTTATGCATGCATCTGGCCTCCGGGGTTTCAAATAAGGGCTTGGGGACCTGAACAAATCTCATTTGGAATTGCCACCAGTAATCAAGTGTCCCCATGCCATGTATCGGAGTTGCAAAGTGCTAGTCTGCAGGATGACCTGGAGTTAGATTGTATTGAGTGACCACTGTGTTTCAATTTTTTGGTGTCCTTGGTTGGGAGCAAGGTCATACCCAGCCCCTGCTGCCTCCTTCCTTTGGGCACCTGCCTGCCTTTGAAGGCATTTGAGGTGACAACCTTGCTGTGTGAAACAATGTCCCTGCAGAGAGAGAACTGATGACCGAGATGGGCTCTCCAAATCGCCAGCCTTGCATTCATTCATTCTGCAAGCAATGGCCGAGTGATGTTTGCTTATAATATTTGTGATTTGGCAGCAATGTTTAAGTGTTCATTATTAGTAAAGTACTAGGGGGAGCCTTCCAGAGCTGAGTTACTTGCACTGTCCAATTTGTTCTCTGGCTGGTGTTGACTGGGCACTTCCTCAGGGTAGCCTAAGTGGGTATTTCAGTGCCCTACTTCCGGGGCTATCTTCAGGGCTACGCAGCCATGTGGCACTGCTCTCAGACCCATTTTACAGATGAGGAGGCCAAGCCTCAAAGATGGTTCATCACTTGGCCCCAGGTTCTACAGTAAAAATGGAAGGACTTGGGTTGCACCCAGGCCATCTGTCCCGGCTCTTTCATAGCACAGTGCAGTGCTGCAGAATAGAAGGATGCTCGAGGACGTCACTTTGGGATTAATGTCCCCATTGGAAACCTGCAGCCCAGGGCCATCTGCATTTACAACACGGCCTAATGGCAGCAGACAAGGCTTCCTTCTGCTGCCCGCCTGCATCTGAGCCACACACGATTATTGAGAACACACTGAGTGCCAGCGGTGGCTGCTGAGGACAGAGTGGTGAGCAGAGTAAAGGCCCCTGTCCTCCTGCAGCTTAGAACCCACCGCAGTGAGTCAGATGTCAAGGAAGCAGTGGCAGACACAGGGCAGCTAATTCCAGATGGTGGCGAGGGCTGCAGGGGAGTCAGTGAGATGAGTCAGCTGGGCTCCTGGGGAGGTAACGCCTGAGCAGAAAGGCCAGAGACGTGTCCAGGGCAGAGGGAACGGCACCTGCGAAGCTTGCAGCAGAGGGCCGGGGCCCACAGCACGTTCCTGTCCACCCAACCCAGACATTGAGTCGTGCCCTGGCAGCACTTGTTGGAGGCAGTTGGGAGACATCGTCACCGGAACCCACAGCCATTCCCACATTCCATGATGTTATGGCAGGAAAATGGAACGGGCCCTTCCAAGAAGTTCCCAAGGGAGCTGAAAATATTGGAGTTAAGACCATGAGGCCTGCGTTCAAGTCCTTGCTCTGCCCCATGAACTGACTTGGCTTTGAATAAAGCCCTTTTTCCTCTCTCTCCCTCTCGCTCTTTTAAAAAATCTGTTTTCTGCCCCGTAAAACAGACATCCGACACCTACCTGATAGTGTTCTTGTGAGAATTTCATGAAACAATGCAGAAGAAAGACCCACAGAAGCTGCAAAGCACAGGAGGAA